ATCACAAGTTTGAATATTAAACTTTTTGTCGCAGAGTATATGCAGGCACGAGGTGTCCGATGGTCCTGAGACGGCTGCAAACCACAGACTCTCGAGGTTGAGATTGGGGAAATCGATGAAGAAGCGAAGTCCAGTCGGCAAGGCATTTGCCGCCGTTATCAACGCTAAATCTTGAAACTTTTCTCTGTGGGCGTAGGGTATCAACTTCACCACGCAGTCCCAATTGCTACGTCGGGTGGCTATATCAATTGCCTGGTCATAGTTTCGAAAGCCCCACTGAAGAAGTTTATTTATAGCTGCGGCGTTGTTGTAGAAGGCGGCCACTTTAAGTGGACAGTTTCGCAAGAAAAAACGGTCAAAATCGATCCGTTTGTTGAACCACTTGAAGTTGAAGAGAAGCTCCAGACTTTCATTGTATCCGTTAGCTACAGCGTAGTGAAAAGGCAGTCGGTTTTCATTGTCTACATGGGAGATGTCTGCACCTTCTTGTATCAAAAACTTTGCCAAAATGGCAGTTTCACTTTCAGTATAATCGTCTTTTTTAAAGGAGAAAAGGCAGTGTAAAGGCGTCCGGCCAAAGTCGTCTTTCGTATTGACCCCAGCATCCCTGATAATCTTTAGCATAACGATCCCTCTCCGCCGGTTCATGGTGTTCCTTGTGGGCATTTGGTGCTGGTAGTGGTCGTTTCTACTCTAGAATGATGGCACTGGACNCAGCATCCCTGATAATCTTTAGCATAACGATCCCTCTCCGCCGGTTCATGGTGTTCCTTGTGGGCATTTGGTGCTGGTAGTGGTCGTTTCTACTCTAGAATGATGGCACTGGACTGAAGTGTGTGGAAGGCTTCGGGGAATGCTCCTTTTTACGCAGGTGTAGAAAATGACGAGGATGATGACGATGGTGATGGTGATGGTGGAGATAGCGACGATGATGATGATGATGATGATGCTTAGATGAGGGAAAAGAGTGAACTTAGATGATATGCATTGATGCGACCAACTCAAACTGGCGGCACAATCGCGAACAGAAGCGCACAAACAAAAATTGTGTTCTCTTTTCTCCCCTTACCAAACCGTACTGCGCATGCCCTCCATTTTGAATCTATTGCGTCATATTTTAAAGTTCAGTCCTTACCTGGCTTCAAAATGACTGAAACGGCAATTTGTGGTTTAAACTCAATCGGCTCTAATCAGATTAGACCTGGAGATTAAAACAAAAACGTTGAAGCAAAGTGCATAACTTCCAGGCGTCTTTTGCGGCCAAGAATCGCAAATTGTTTAATTAACATTGGCGTCCTATCATCTGCGAGCATGCATAATTAACACATGGTTGTTTGTTTTGATTTGTTTGGCTTTCAAGATTCTCCACACTTCAAACCGGGATTCTTCTGGTTTAGTTTGCTGTACAATGATGCTGTACAGTGGGTCAGCTGCCCGCCTGAGACCTCTCTGCAGTGTTTGTCGAAGTGTTTGGAGTGAACACCGCTTTCAGCTGAAGTACACAGCTGCCAGTGCTTCGTTTGCAGCAGCGAATAGGGGCAGAAATAAACGTGGTCGCTCTACCAGAAAATCTTTTGATGTAAATGAAGCCCAGTTGAAGAATCTTCTCGATGATGAGCCGTACTTTGATCGGGATTTTGACTACGTCGATCATCAGCAGTTGGCGTTACAGAGAAAGTACCTGCCTGAAAGAGAGAAGGACTCTCTCAACTCACCAAAGGCAATTCTTGGAAGCAAGTACCGAAATGCTCTGTACGAGGACGACGAGGATGATCTCAAGTTGGCGCAGATCAAGCTGAATGCCGGCAATAACAAACAGACCATTAAAAAGCTGCATCAAGCGTTTGAGGAGGAGGAAAGGGTGAGAAAGAGTACAAATCTCGAGCTGCAATCCTCGACACCACTCGCAAAAGCCGCGGAAAAGTCCGTCCAAACAGACAGCACTGCCTCAGCAAAGACTCGCATAGAAAAGAAGAAGGAGCGAAGAGTGCTCATCGACCTGCCGTACGACATTACCGAGGAGAATCGCTTCGACGTGCTCAACGAGCTGGTCATTCCCCTCCACCAGACGCCCTATCACCTGCAGCTGAAGCGCAAGCAGCAGATGTGTGCGGAGGTCCTCCGCCGGCTGGGCACCAAGCTGCAGCAGATGGACGGCCCAGTTCGGGTCGGCCGGAGCGGCCTGGCCTGTCCGCTGGAGCCGACGCGGCCGTCGCCGGTGACGGAGCGCTACCGCAACAAGGACGAGTTCAGCGTGTGGCCGGGCGTGGACGGCAACAGCCGTACGGTGGGCTTCTTCGTCGGCCAGCCCTCGCTGCACCGGCGGGTAGTGTGCGTCGAGCCGGACCGGATGGTGATCAGCAAGCAGTCGCACATCGACCTGGCGGGCAGCTTTCAGCGGTACCTCCGGGAGGTCTCCCCCGCCTTGAACTACTGCCAGAACTACGGCGACGCCGGCCACTGGCGGCGGCTGTCGGTTCGCTCGAACCGCCTGCAGCAGCACATGCTGACGGTGAATATGCACCCGCAGGAGCTCACTGAGCAGGAGCTGGCGGAGGAAATGGACCGCCTGAGGAGGTACTTTGCCGGCGACAGTCGCGTCAGTTCGCTGTACTTTCACACCAGCCGAAACACCCGATCGACGCACAGCGCCGACAGTGAGCGGTACTACCACTTGGCAGGCAGTGAGACGATCACCGAGCAGCTCTTTGACCGCCACTTTGCCATCTCGCCCAGCTCATTCTTTCAGGTAAGTCATTTTGTTTGTATTTCGCAATTTTCATTTACTAATGTTTACCTTCATTAGATCAACACCGCCGCCGCCGAGGTGCTCTACCGCGTGATCATGACCGAGGTGAATGGTGCCGATGGGCGAAAGCGCCGGAAGGACACCACCCTCCTCGACCTGTGCTGCGGCACGGGCACACTGGCGCTGCTGATGGCCTGCCACGTGAAGCACGTCATCGCCATTGACCACTCGGTGGCGGCCATTGAGGACGCAAGGCGGAATGCAGAGGCAAATGGGGTTCACAATGTCACCTTCATGGCGGGCACCGTCGAGGACATTCTCCCCAGGCTGGTGGAGGGCAACCAGCTGAGTGGTCACGTGGTGGCGGTGGCCAATCCCTCTCGGCGAGGCCTTCACCCCAAGGCAATTCGCACCCTCCGTCGCATGGACTACATTGAGCGGCTGGTGTACGTCAGCTGCAAGGCCGACGGCGACGCCTTCTTCAACTTTGTCTTTCTCAGCCGACCGCGCTCCGACTCCGGGTCGCCCTTTATGCCGGTGAACGCCATTCCCGTGGATCTCTTTCCGCACACGCCTCACTGCGAACTGGTGCTCACCTTTGAGCGCTTTTGAGCGTGTTTTTTTGTTTAGTCAACATTTGATTTGGTTTTTCAAATTCTGTAGAATAAATGTGGCGGAATATTGTTTCGAAATTACCCCCTGCGTAACGTNTGTATTTAGTCAACATTTGATTGTTTTTCAAATTCTGTAGAATAAATGTGGCGGAATACTGTTTCGAAATTCTCCCCTGCGTAACGTCCTCTCGGGCTGGGTCTAGGACACGTGACGACGGCGAAATCGACCCCGGCTGCTGATAAACAAGTGGCAATAGTTGCTTTTTGTGCTTTTTGCGGCACAAACTGAGCGCTCCACTGTTTCAGTCATTTTGAGAGGTGATCAAGACGACAGATCTGTCTTCTGGCACACTTTTAACCTTGCCCAGTCCACCTGAACACCGTGACAATCACACCTTGATACTCATTGACCAGTGCCCAGTGCTAGGGTGCCCACTTATTGCTACATTCAAGCCGAAGAACAGTGCCAAAACACTGACTGCTCCACAGTCCGCATCATGTCAACAAGTGAACTTTTACAGCAGCTGGAAACATGTGCGCAGATGATCATGGTAAGATAGTGAGCCAGTTCTCAAACCATGTCATGATTGACGTATATTCTTTGCATTTTTCAGGCATCGCCGGATCAGGTCTCTGCGAGCGACCGCAACAGCGCACAGGAGGTTTTCCTCAACTTCCAGAAGACCAAAAATCCATTTGATCTTTGCCGTGATATTCTTGAAAATTCCTCAAATCAGTTTGTCCTCTTTCAGGCCGGATGCTGCCTGAAGAATGGTGTCATTCGAGACTGGGGCCAGCTGAGCGAGGTTCAGGCGCGTTCACTCTTTTCCTACCTGTTTGAGTTTGTCAATCGTCGTCCAGTGGAGCAGTTTGTCATCGAAGAGCTGATGCTCGTGGGGGCGATCATTCTCAAGCGAATTCTAATCAACGATACGACCAAGGAGCAGGATAAGGTGTTGATTGTGCAACTGTGCGATATAGTGAAAAACCAGAACTCGCCACTTCAAATGCGTCTTAATGCGTGCACAGCAATCAGCCTGATTCTGGCCGAATTTTGCACTATCAACCAAAACTCCGATTACGGCATCTCATGGTACACTCACTTAATTGCAAAGCGACACTTTGAAAAGCTTCGCCTCAAAGACATCTTCCAAACGGTGATGGCAGTTCTCTTTGACCACTTGAAAATTCCCGCAGAGAATCATCGCTCCCCGGACTGGATCAAGTTGAGCACCAAACTGATTCGCATCTGTGACACTGTTCTTTCATGGAATTTCAACTTTATGCTCGAAACGTTTACCATCATTTCAGCGCAATACGCTCGCAATCGTGATCGACTGGAGAGCCTGGTCTTTCAGCCACCCTCTGACTGGATCGAGTTCATTATCGACGGCAATCTCATATCGTTCTTCTTTGAGGTGTACATTGCCTTTCGCAAAATTGAGGACGCCAACCTGGTCCATCAGGTGCTGCAGTGCCTGAATCAGCTCAGCACCATGACCGGCCCGTTGCTCTACCTGCAGCGTGACGTCCGCAAAAAGTTCACTGAAATGTTCATGGTGAACACGATCACCCTGACCAATGCCATCTTTGACGTGGTGTCCATCCACGAGGTAGTCTTTCTAGCCAACTTTATCAACTCCATTTGCAATCACCTGCGCAGCAACTCCTCTCTCCAGTACGTCGACTTTAACCTCGCTCGACAGTTCTTCGGCGTGATGGCCAAGCTGTCCTGCAAGGTCATCATGGACAATGTGGGCGCGCGCACCTCGGGCGACGAGGAGAGCTACGAGAAGAGCAACCAGTCGGTGGACTACCTGGTCACCTCGTGGATGGTGGTCATAAACGTGGTGCAGTTCATCCTCCACCTCCACGAGGAGATGCCCATTGAGCACTGCAACATGAGCGAGTTCCTCAAGATGGAGGAGATTGTCACCTGGACGCGACCCATCTTTGAGACCTAC